ATCCGTTTTTTTTTGTTTTGACTTCAACTCTTCTTCTATTTTTCTTTTTTTTCTTATCCTTTTGCCTTCAATCTCAACTCGTTGAATTTATTCAGGAAAAAAAACGGAGCTATTTTTCATAATAATTTAAATAGATAAACTTAAATTAACTTCTTTGCAAAGGCAAAACTACTGAAAGTCAACTACAAATTTGATTTTGGGGTATGTGTGTTCATGTCGTTCTTTTGAAAGAAGCGACTATCTTTTTAAAGAGTTTTGCTGCAAGGTGAAAACTTGATTGCAAGTTTCAAGTCGAGACCTAAAGCCATTGTTCATATTTAACTTTGTTCTACGTGTTTCTATTTAACTTTTTGAATGCTTTGTGCATGCAATCGTAGCTGCGAGCGTTTTTGCAGCGTCGTATGTATGTGTGTGGGTATGATTGTGACTGTTGCACTTGTTGCACACGTTTATGCATTGCTATCATTCGAAAACTACAACCATCTTTTCGACATTTCAATTTTGCATTGGGGAATTCAACGGCGTGTTGTTTTGTTCGCTTTTGTTTGAGCTATCATCGGGATGCAACACAGAAAAAATACTTTGTATGTGATTTCATTCTTGCCAACAAGTGCATTTCAATCGAAACATCTTAACATTCCGATTCGCAACAGTTTACGATTCATTTGAGAATTACGTTGAAAATCCACAATGGCACAAGACTAGAAACCAATTTCACTCTCATAATTCATACTTTCTTCGAGTTCGGCAAGGTTTTCAGCTCTGCAGTGGCACGGGCGTTCGTCGCTCGTTCAACACACACACTCAATTTTAGTTCGGCAACATTTGTTTTGAAACCAATTCAAGTGCATCTGATCATATGCAATTTATTTCAATTTTGTTTTTGTTTCAACAACGCGAGCGCGAACGCCCGCCCACCGCCGTAAGTGTACGAGCCAATTCTCGCGTGTTGTCGATATTGATGTGTGATAATAATATGCATTACTATGTAGCAGCTCGTCGTCGATTTTTATCTGCACTTCAATAATAAATTGTCGATTCTTCTTCATTTTCCCATAAATATGTGCAGCGCATTTGTTTCGGGGGCAATCTACCGATAAATTTCCATACAGTGCGAACCATTTTTTGCATGCAAAATGAAGCTTTGGCACATTTCATGTTCGGTTCAATGTGTTTCAATTATTATCGTCAGCACATTTTCAGGCTCACACCATCGAGGAGCACAAAAATAGAAAGAGATTCGTTTGTTTTTTTTTTATTGTCGCATACATTTTGCATGCAAAAGCCACAAAAAACGTGTTAAATCAATAAAATGTTATGGTTTTAGCAATTTTTCTCTCTCTCTCTCTTATTCGTCGATTCTGTGTATTTTTATGAGAGAAAAAAAACGCAATTTACTTTACGAGCATGCAATAACAAGGAATCAACGCAAAGTTTTCCCAGCACAAACAGAAGAAGAAGAAGAAGAAGAAGAAGAAGAAAACGAATTCCCCTCCCTTGAAAATTAAAGTGCATAATGAGCGAAATTGAATTAACACTTTTGGCCATATCATAAATTCAAACGCGTATTTTTTTTTCACTTCCAAATTAAAACGTATCAGGATTAATGCGAAAACTTCGATATGACGGAAATAAATTCCAAGTGGCACATTTTCATATTCATGACCTTATGACCATGGCCCTACCGTCCGCACGCTCTGAATTTTAATGAAATCCAATAAATTTTTTTAACGGTACTCTACCGTTTGGCACATTTTACAATGTCACGGCTTTTAATATGCATTCCATTTGCTCTTTGTGAGTCTTTTGATTACACATTTTACCGTCTTTTTCCTGATTCGTGCCGACGATCGACGAATAGGCGAAATGTTGTTTTTATTTCAAAAAAATTGGTCTCTTTTCTTCAATTTAAGCGATAATTCAATTTTCGTGTTAGCCAACAATTCAAGCTTGCAACAATTAATCATTTCATCAGCAACCGCTTTACCTTTCGATCGAACGAACATTGTAATTGAAATGGAAACTTCTTGTGGAACTGAGTGAAAATAAGAAAAAGAACGAAAAAAAGTAAAAAAACGAAAAGAACGAAAAAGAAACGAAAGAAAAGAACAAATATTGACGTTGCTGCCGTTGCGTCTCTTCTGCTCAAAAGAAGACATTGTTGCGCTGACGCATGGTGTGGACATTAAAAGTATTCAAAACTGAATTATACAATGCACAGCATGTATTCAACGACCTCAAAAGAACCATGTTGAACATTCGGAATGATATCAACCGGCTATTTCTATTCATTATTTTCAGTCGGAATGATTTCAATTCAGTTTCAAAGTTCTTTTAATATTTTTTTTTGTTTGTTTTACCACCTTCGTTGGTTTCGAATTTCATTTCCATAATTTTTCGTTATATTCGTATTAAATAAATAGAATTCATGTGGAATTTTTTTTTTTGGAAGCATCAAAAGACTATCATTCGTTTGATCTGATCTATCGATACATTTAGAAGAAGATGATTGCTTTTCGATTCAAACTTTCCAAAGTATCACAGCACATTTGTTGAAGAATATTTCAAAATGATGTCCATCAGAGGTGTAAATAGCAACGACGATAATAATCTTGTACATCAACACGGATTTGATGCGGCCATTGGGCGGTCAACGATTCAAATTTAGCCGAAAAACCTCGACCAAATCAAGTTTTATTACTAACTTGATTAGTAATTCATGCACATGCCCGTAAGTGGCTATCAGCTTATTGTATTTGAAATGGTTTTTAAATTCCGACAAAAGAGAGAGAGAGACTCTGAATATCGCATCGCATGAGTAAGCCGGTAGCTAGGTTGTGCAGTCAAAATGACTGAGTTTTATCATTTTTTAAATCATAAACGCAACCAGATTCATCTAAAAAAAACAACAACAACAAATGAGCCGCATCTTCACACCAACAAAAGAATCTTATCTTTGTACCAAAATATTATTTGTGATGCGTCGTTCCATCGAAATCGATAAAGGAGTAAAACTCGTTCGCCTTCTTTTATTGTTTGAATATTGCCATAAAATACGGTTTATGATTGGATTCAGTGCTGTTGTGCACAAAGAATACTTTTCGTGTGTGTTCATCATGTCTCGATTTGTGTGTGCGGTGGCAATATAACTAAATATGGCAATCGAACCGCCACACGAAGCTCCTTGGCGCGGCATCTTTTGATACATTTATCCCATTGCATCGACACATATAACAAACCAATTATTATCGATACTCTGCTAATTGATATGGTCCGTTTTTGTGTGTACGTGTTAAATATTTGGCTCATTACGAGTCAATTGATTCCAGTGAGAATACCTTAAATGCACTCAACTCCACTTAACTCAACTCCGCTCTTCGTACAATTACCTCAGCTCAAGTACCTCAGCACAAGAATTTCCGTTTATAAACTGCTATTGATGAACTCACACTACGTAGGTTAACACACAATAAAAATGTTCGTTTCGTCGGAACACTCAACCACAAGCGATAATTGAACGCAAAAACTAGCTTGAGAGTCGACTGCGAAAAAAAAACCGCACAGTTTGATGAATCAATTTGTTTCATTACATGTTTGTTATGACATTGTATGAATGAAACTTACAGCCAAAACACAACGACTTCGGTCGATAAAAAAAAAGTTTTCCTATTCACTTTCATCGATACTCAAACACATACCGGCTGCATTGCGTTCGATTGTAGAGTAAAATCGAAATTTTTCGCCGTTGCTCGTGTTTATCCAACAAAATATTCCCATTCCGAAAAAAAAATTTATGAGTCGTCTATCAAAATACACAAGCGAATGCCTTTTGCAGAATGTCTTCATTAATTTCAATTAAAATAGGAGGAGAGCGCACGATGCTCTCATTCGAGTGAGCGTTGAGTGGCTTGTGAAGTTGTTTATTCAAACTGATTTCCAATTAACAAATATGATATTTTCAAAACTGTTTCGTACACATACTTGAGCACATTGCTCAGCCGAATGGAACATGTACAGTGCATTGTATGTTTTCACTTAGTTCGCTATGGTCTGAAATAAATCGTCGAAAATGGCAAAAAAGGGGTTATCAATAAATTTTTCAAGCGAGAGTGCAACAGCTCAAGCTAATAATATAAATTGCAGCTACAATATAGAGAAGAGAATGAATTTTGAAAATGCTGACATTAATGGGATACTGTTCGCATCAACGAGACGCCATCGATTACTTTATTTGGTCAATTCGATGCATTGTTTGCAAAAACGACGATTTACTTTTGCACGCTACTGCAAATAAAATATCATTTCAAGGCGTAAGAAAAACAGAGCTCAAGCAATTCAAGACATATATGGCAAAAATCGAGCACTCAACTTCTTTGATTCATCCGTCCTTCGTCGGTATTGACATCGGTGACGCATTTTGGGATCATTCATGCTTTGGACAAACGCATTCGATCCCATTTATATGTGAAATTGAATGGATTATGGGACGACAAGTGTCATTGACTTTATTTTAACCATGTTTTGAAGCAAATCAAAAATTCAAAACGATCATTTCTGAACCTGTTCTCATTTAAACCCATCGAAATTTACGGTCATTGTTTTCGATGTTTTCCCCATGTGCCTATTTTTTCTCTGTTTATTACAAATTTGTTGAGGCTTCTGCTGTGAATTTATCACCTCTGCGAACCGATTGATCTTTGATTCCAGCTGGTGTCAAGTCAATAGCAAGACACAATCTAGTTATCGATAATATATGAATGAACCTGAACTTGTTCCCATTTGGTTTTTCCTCACTTGTCGTTGTCGTTGTTCTTTCCTCACACAATCTGAATCAAGCTATAGAAGTGCGCTCACAATGGCAAAAAATCATAGCATCAATACTAATTTATTCGTTATTTAAGCATCTTATTTGCATAACTTATGGACACTTCTTTTTAATGCCCTTTTGTAACTCAATTTTAAATATTTTCGTCTTCTTCTCGTTGTTATTCTCTTTACAGTTTGACAACGTCAACAACTGTCTGAATACATTGCACACATTGGCCGTGGGTGGTCTGGATGGAATCACCACCAATGACATATGCACCGGTAAACTTCGAGCAATACTCGATCTATTCTATGCGCTAAGTGTTTACAAACAGGCGGCAAAACTAAAATCCGGCGTCCCCATCAACAAGCAACAAGCACAACCGGCTCCACAAACATCGGTGCAGCAAATACACCAACCGCTCACTCAGCAAACACAACTTGGACTTCAACCGAACACAGTCAATGCTTCCAACGAAATGCTGAATCGGTAAGTGCATTCAGCTTTTCTCCTCTCTTTTTTTTGCACCATTTCGATTTAAAGAAAAGGGAACTTCCAAGTGAAGACTTTGAGAAAGAGTTTGAGACTTTTGATATTATGTTTATTTTAAAGCACAGAAGAACTTTTTTCGAATTGACCGAACACAAATTGGCAAATGTTGCCGATTTTGTTTGTTTTTTCAATAAAAGTTCAATGACGATGGCGCAAGTTCGATTGATTTTGCAAGTGAGAGAACTTATTTGTTTTGTCACTGCGGTTTGAAATCAATATCAATTGATTATTTTGGAACGTTGCTTCAAAATATTATGCTTTTTTTTTATTCGATCGCCTTTTTTTTGGCAAAATTGATAAATTTGTAGAAATGAACAAATTAAATGTAAAAAAAGGAACAAATTTGATTCATTTCAAATTCAACGTAACATTTTTGACATCATTTAAATTATAATTTTTTCTTAAGGTAAGAATCTCAGTGTTGATACTCAACATATTCGAAGTATAACAGTTTGGATTAAAATGTAATTTTCTAAAATTAAATATTGAAAATGAAAAAAAAGTGAAACAAAATAACGAAATAAAAGGGACCAGTTTTGAGAAGACCTTCATCGTTGCTCAAGTTCAATTTAACGAAATAACGATTTTCCTTGTTTCACATATTCCATTTGCTAATTACAGTAGTAATCTTCATCTTAAGTAGCAATGACATCTTAGACACAATTCTCATTATCTCAAAATCGAAGTAATAAAGATGATTCAGCATAAGATGGTTAGTGCTATTTTGGAACAAGCATTTAGACTTGAATTCCCTTCACAATTTTTGCGGTGCAATTGAAATCTCTCTAACCAATGAATCCGAAATTCTATCACGCTACCGTATGTATGGCTTACGATAAGGAAACATATGAAACAAATTGCACTGCAGATTGAAATGATAGAAGGCGTTTAATCAAAATAAATGTGCGTTTCAGTGTTGAATTACCTGCCACGCCCTCGGCATGAGTGCAAGCATTCAAGTGAACATTACGATGCAATTCTAACCGTTCATCGATTGCGTTTTCTCTATCACAAAAAGCGGTGTGCGCTGCATCAAAACAAATTAGATTTATTGTTTCGCTCGTACCTTTCTTGTAAATCGTGCATTCAATCAAACGAACGATTCATGCCCAGTCGTAAAAACATCATATTAGCCACATTATCTGGGGGAAAAGCCGGCAATTGGGTGATAAATGAGTGTAGTTCCTTAGGTAAGTTCTATGCAAGAAGATGTATGCATAGCTACCTCAGATGAATGTCATTGCACAAGCAGCCGTGAGCAGAGCAAGGGAACGGCGGCTGCTCAAATGTGAAATAGTAGAAGACGATAACATTTATTGACACGTGTCGTGTTAAACGAAATCCTATTCCAAGTATCTATGCCGACTAATTTTAATGGTTTTTCGGCACGCGGCACAACTTGTTTCACAATATTGTTCCTGTACTCGTTCACTTGAGCCACTTTGGGGTTGCATAGTGCTGCTGCTACCGCTATAGATGACGCAGAAGGCTTCAAAGGAAACAACAAGAATTATTATACAATTTTCCGAATGAAAATACGAAATAAATTTCGCATTGTTGCACTCCTCCGCTTTGAATGTGTGCGCTCACATTGTGAGGGGGATCCATTTAATGGAATTACATACATCTATTCAATGCGACTGAATGGGAATCAATTTCGTGCGTGCCACCTTTGTGTTTCGTAGGCTGCACTAGACAGTTCACATTCACTCGTTGATCGAATTTTAATTTCAACTCGTTTCTTCGATTCTTCTTCTTCGTTTTCGTCTGATTAATAATTCATTTACGATGTGAAAAATAGCCATGAACACACGAAGCATCGTCATTTGAATTATTGGCACATTAACATAACAAATAGCATAAAATTACGAATCGTAAATCAAAACGTTATGATTATGACGTTCGGTTTGTTTATTTATTTGTCTTTTATCGGATGGTTTGATGATTATTTTCGGTTACCCATCCACCGAGATGCAAACGATAAACACATAATCGATACGGGAAAAATATACAAGAGATTCACAAAAATAGAGACAGCAACGACGGCGGCACGCGTTTCAACTTGATATTCACTCTCACCACACCAGTTCAAACATAAACATCGAAAACAACACATGGAATTTCATCAGCATCACTGTACAAATGGATCAACGAACAAAACACAGTTGGAGATTGCTAGATGATGCATCGCTGCAACGCGATGAATTGAAACGTCGTAAAACGTTTAACGCATGAAAAAATGAAAAGAATGGAAAAAAGACTCAGATCTTTTATGTGAAATGTGTTTATAAGACCAACCATTCATTTAGCTTTTTTTTGTCGCGATTGAAAAATTGAAACATAAAATGAAACGCTCACACCTCGGATACACAAATTTCATTCGGATTTTGAGCAGACAGCACATCGAATATACTGGAATTGGTACAAAATTCGTGCATTTTCAGCGAAGCATTTCGGTGTTTGCCTCTGTATTTTGGGATGTGCTGAGTACAGCAAATGAAATGGCAAAATGGGTTTTTCGTTGTTCATTCATTGAATTCAATGTTCTTGAAGCAAAGGTATGATGATTTACGTGTTCATCAATGATATTCAATAGAATTCATAATTTTAGAAGAAATTTCAAGCAATGAATAACAATGATACTGAATCAAACTCATACGAAATAATGAAGAAATGTTTCTGTACGAATAGAAAAACTTCATCTTGAATCAAGACTTTGGATGTAAAATCAATGCTCATTTGATGTGAGAATTTATGTTTGCCTTAATGCTAATTTGTTGCCATAAAATGCGTAATTCAACTAACAAAACGTCCATTTCCTGGCTCAGCTAATTTATTGCTAATCTCACATTCTGCTCATTTGATAGAGCAATAATGGCTGTTTTGAAACTGCTATTACAAAAATGTACCCAGCCGACCAAAACGGAATGAAAGTTTACAATCAAAAATGGTTAGTGATTTGAACAGATGCAGTGAGTAATAAACGGCTAAGAGTTTCATTCGATTTGTTTATCCTCTGAAATGAAATGGAATTTAAGTACAAGCAATGTATGCATTTTCATTTTACACAATGTGAATCTTTTTGTTTCGGGCTAAAAATAGTAAAAGCAAACGAGCATAAAGTTTAGAGATTATTTGAATTTATATATGAAAAAGTAGCATGAAACTTCACATGTAGCTAAATGAAAAAAAAAACAACAATTTTATGCATCTCAGACGCAACATTTGTTCGATAAATCGTATTTTAATTTTGCGCAATTTATACTGTGGTCTTGTGAGCCATATTCAAATGGTGAAAATCAGAGAGAAATTGAGAGTGAATGAAAAGGGTCCAGACAAACCTTTTTGTTGGCTCAAGAAACTTCTGCGACGCTTTCGATCTGAAATAGCTGATTGCATTCATTGCGAAATCTTTTAATATTCCAATTGGCTAAGTTGATTCGTAGTGCTTCACCAGGGCAAAAACTGATGTATTCATGATAACGGCACGTGTTGATATTATAATTCTAGATATACGACTAGATAGCTAACGCCTTTTATGTAATTTGAAGTGTGCGTATAACAATCGCAAAGAATGTATTATTATTATTTCTTGAAAGCCGATTTGTACGAAGCCGTTCAGCTGTCGCTCATTCATACTTTTTGCTGTGGTCGCGATACACTTGAAATCCTTTCAAAAATTCGGCATTGTTTGGGTTTCGTCTTGATTCACGTTCGGTTTTATTCTTCACATTTTTCTTCAATCCCCTCACTCATTTTTCGCTGCTCAGGCAAATCGTGATGTTCTTACATGGCTGGATCATTATTCATCGTCAATCTCTCCCGGTCTCAAGTATACGGTTTCATTGTAAGACACAACACAGAAGAGAAAAAAAAACAACTTGAGTGGCTTGGAATTCCCTGTCCCGTCGTTCGATTTGGCCAAATGAAAATTAATGAATTTGATTAAATCTACCTAAAAGTCATTCATACCGTTTCGAGAGCCGTTTGCACGAGCTTGGGTTGTTCACATTTTGTGCCATTCAAAAAGTGACCTGTGTAAGAGGTATATAAAAGTTAAACAGAACGAAAATCATTCGAGTGCGTACAAATGGATACGCAATATTCATTTTGAATTGATGTGAAACACACATATTTTTTTGCAGAAAAACTTTTGTCAACTGGTTCTTCACTGGTCTTCATGACTATTTACTAAATAGAACTTGAATTGTCAATTTCGATTCTACCTATGGATCCACAATGAAATGTGAATGTGATAAAAACCCATTTCAACGACAACAATTTCCGCTATCGATGACATTTCGATAAAGAAATGTTCTCCACCGGCTGTTAAAGCACATACCTAATGTTCGTTTAATGGTTAGGTTTTAACTACAGAGAGGAAATAATCTTGGATATTAGCTCAATACCTTTGGAGCATTAATGTTTATCAGATTTGATTTCCTTTTTTATGAACACATTTGACTTAATTCAATTATAACATACGATTGACTCTACTTCTCCCAAATCCCATTCCCCAAATAATAAAAATTGAAGGTAAACGTTGTGAACTAAAAAAAAACAATGACGAACTTACAAAGGATAAATTATGGTCAAATCAAAATCAATTTCCACTATGCCCTGGGAATTTACCGTGAGAAATATGGGATTTTCAGTTGAAAAATCCACTGTGATTTATTCTAATTGTAGCAAACAGAGCTATTATCCATCGATCTATTCTATTATCTTCGCATGCACAGCTTCAATAATATTATATACTGGAATATTTTTCAGTGTTATGAATGATTTCAGCCTACAAAGTTCAAGTTATCCACATATTTTGTCATCTACATTTTATATGCGATTTATTTATATATATGAAGTGAAAACGTTCACTGTATCAGAAGAGAGATGTGATATGCGCACTTGGTTGGAAAATTTTTTATGTACAACATCTT